GATAGAACTGCTGCTACTTCTTGGCAATCTTTCAAAATCACAAGGTAGGCATGGTGAAGAGATCAAAAATTCCCCAACATAGATCCATCCAGGGGTAATATTTTGTATCATGCATAGAACGCTACCTTGTTTTCTTAATGCCTTTAAAGCTTTCTGATTATTCAGTCTGTATAAGTGGCAGATAGTAGTTCAGTACTTATAGTATAGTTAGTATAGTATAGTTAAACTATATTGTATTGAAAAGCCTTGCCTTTTCTTTATGATTTTTTCCTCAGTGTGATTAATCACTGTAGCTAGCATAACTTTTTATTGCACAACCACTTCCTTTTCTTCAGCTGCCCTCATTGTTTGTTGGAACATACAGATATATTATTTGCATAAGTGTCACAAATAAATTAATTAAACAAGGAAAAAAAACCCTTGACCTCTGCCTAGCTGTGCAATATGTTTCTGCTTGTATTTCGCAAAGCCCATTTTTGTTTGCTATCTATTAGATTTGTTTTAGCAGCCATAAAAAAGCTTGTACTTGTGCTACAAAAAAAAAAAGAAAAGAAAAAAAGAAACAATTTAGTTCTGAGTGCTCCAGGCTAGGCTCAACAGGGAAATCCTGTTTTTGTGAATTTGGTGAAATGTATTTTATTTGACTGTTCTACAAAGGTAAAGGAATCAATAACAAACAAGAATGGTAAAGGCAGGTCAGCCTCCTTGATGTCAGCACACCAGGATTAAGGTCAGCACACCAACAGTGTTAAGAAAACTAAACAGCTTTGGCCCAAACTGTAGAATGCAAATGTTCATCTAAATAGCTGAACTAGTGGATAAGGACAATGGAAAGATCCCCACTGATGTCACAGAGTTTGGTTCATGTCCTTGTTGTATGAAGCAGTTAGGAAAAGGGTGCACTGCTGTTTTATAAACAACATTGCTCATGCTGCAACTCAGATTGTTACGGGGCATGGATTCCCATGAAGGAGAAATGAATCCCAAATAGGAAGAGTGCTGGGAAAATCACCCAGTTATATATCCTTTCCCCTGCCAAAAACACACATGGAAGCACATTTAAAAAGGTGCTTAAATTAATATATTCCCATGCAGATTAACCAAATTCATCTCTAATAGTTCTCTCTAGTAATGTGTGCAGAGCAGAGAATCACAGAGAGAAACAGCATGAGTATAGCTATTAATTCACTTCATTCAAGCCAACCAACTGAGACTGAACATTCATTAAGCAGACATAGCATACAGAGTCCTTCACAAGGCAAAGGGCTTATGTACCTATCTCTGCTGTGGTTTATAAGGGAATAGTAATAATAATCTTATAACAAAAAAACACACTTCTATTCGCCAAAACTACAGTAACAGACAAATACATGTAATAATTATAATGACCTATACTGCAACATGCAAGAGTTCAGTAGGAGACACCAAATATTAGCTTCCCTCGTACTTCTAGCTGTGCAAGACAGGAACGAAGGAGGATTTAAATAAGCTGAGCATAGAAATGCATATTTAAAAAATGGTCAGATTTGTATTTATTTATATTTCAACCTGGAATCTATGCAAAAGGAGGAGAATTATCAATAAAAGTCTGCTACCACCAAGCACAAGCTTTTGGAGAAAACTGAAATCAAAACTGTTTTGATTTTGTAGAAAGTGTCAGGGAGAAGATGAGAAGGAAAAAAATATGGAAAAGAGTAAATTTTACCTGAGATGCTCTAAATAACATATTCTAGAATTTGCATAAAACAGGGCTGATTCTTTAATGCCATTTGAAATAGCCCTAGATCAGGGGTAGTCAACCCCTGGGCACGTGTGTCAATGTGGCCAATGATCTGGGCTGGAGGGCCACTTATAGAGTTTCAATGAGCTGTTGCAGGCTGGTGGGGGGCTGGTGCTGATCCAGTCAAATGCAGGTTGGGGTATGGGAGGAACTGCTGATCCAGCACAGTTGCGGGGGAGGGGAGCAATTGGTCTTATCTGGTTCTGGGCCCATTTGCCCCACACCCACGGCCAAACGTGTCAGATGGAGTGGGAGGGCAGGTGGGCAAGGTCTCCATGAAGACTGGCCCACGACCCCTGTGAGCTGGGTGTGTTTGGCCAGGCAGATGGGACTGGGATGTCAGCAGGTGGGAAGGGAGTGTCATCTGGAAGCAGGATGAGAGGGCAGTGGTGGGGGCTGGGATTAGGGCCAGGATCAAGGGGTAGTGACAATGCGGGGCCAGGGCCCAGGGCAGAATCAGAATCCACTCCCTGCATATCCCTGCCCAGAGAACCTGGCATCCATGATTTTGGCATTAATATTACACTATTGATTCATATTCAGGTCCTTTTCTCTAATTCTGCAGCCCAGCCACTTGTTTTTCATTTTGTATTTGTGCTTTTGATTGTTCTTTCCTAAGTGTAGTATTTTACATTTGACTTTACTGAATTTCATCCTATTTAATTCAGAATATTTTTTTCAAAATATCAAGATCATTTTACATTCTAACCCTCTCTTCTTTAGAGCCTTTTACCCAAACCATCACGGTGTCATCTACAATTTTATGACACAAAATTTCCTTGTAATGTTACTAAGACATTTGATGTGGAAGTGACAGTCCTGTAAAGAAGGATCATCATACATTTTAGCTTTCCTGATGACACCTTTTTTCTTTGAAGTTTCATTTATATAGTAGCTCTTTATATGCCTCTTTTTTGTAGACATTTTCTGCCCTTTTCTGACTTTAACAGTACTACATAGGCATCTGCAAAAAGGGCTTCCCATGAATCATCCATGATCATAATCACTAATTTTCTGCAAGTTATGATGCAGAAGTTATAATATAAGAACAAATATCCAAATGCATAGTGTAATTGCTTTCCCAGCAGATCCTGTTGTTGAAGCTATGCTCATAAAACAAATTGTTACTCTAACATTATTATAAACCAAAGTTACTTTCTGAGCTGTTTCACTGCAGGAGCAATAGCAATGTAATACAATAGTGGTTATAAAACAATGTTAACATTCAAATTTATATAATCAGTCACAGAAACTGAATCCAAAGTAAACCTCAGTCATATGAGCATTTTGAGATCTTTAAACTCTACTCTACTAAAAAAATGCTGTTCCTCAGAAAAAGCGCCTCTGTGGAATATCTTTAGTAAAAAAAGTACAAAGTCTTATTTTCTCACAAGATATGGTATTATAGATTATCATAGTTTATTTTACACTAGCAAACACTGTATTATATGTTATAATGTTAATGCTTATATGCTTAAAATTCATATTTTACATATGCAAGATTGCTATTATAGATAGTAAAGGCAAAGATTGCAATATAACAACAGTAAGAGTAGAGTTTACCTTTAACTCCATATATTGTAAATTGTAAATGATAATATATTTCGCTTCTATTAACTGTACTGGCTGAAATGCACCTATTTTAAAAAGTTACAGATTTACATGAAAATACAGTTATCATATTTATGCCATGAATTCAAGGTAAGCTACTTCCACTTTTTTTCCTTGCCATGTTTATAAACTAAATTTCTCTGTGAAATAAAGTGGTACATTGTCCAAGATACTGCAGAAAGACTAGCAAACTTGCACAGAATAGGGTTTAACAAGGTTAAGTTTTATTAATTAAATACATCTGGGTAGCATTTGATTATAACTTGTCCAGTGCAAGCCTATTCACGTGACTTAGAGGAGTGCTGTATTCAGCTTCCTTACCATCTATTTTATGTCATTAATTTGGCCCCAGCATCATTTCTGTACCCATCTCCGAATTCCTCTTGTATGAAGGTCAAAATGGGTTGTTTCCTTGCTGTGCCAGCTATTAATCCAACTCCAATTTTCACTGAACAGGAAACTAGATCCCATACTAAATTATTACCTGCAGTGACCACCATCCAAATCATGACAAAATGGATACATTGCAACCTAACAAACCCACTGGGTCCCTCAGTTGCTGAGGGAGAACCACCCTGCTTGGCCTATACAAAAATCTGCACAAAAACAGAAGAAAGCCATTCTCAGTTTCAAAAAGGCTAGTAGCATGATGATCCAGAGACCTAGTTCTACTCTAATCTGAAGATGGAAGGAATGAGGAGAAAATGGATTCCAGCAAGGTAGGTGGGATGTTTTATAAGCCCATTCCTCAAGTGTGTGGGAGCTAGCAGTATTCCATTGCATCCTTCTGCCTATCCAACCAATCTCCTACTGCTCCCACATCCCTGTCCAAAACCCATGAGGAAGCTGAGTAGCCACAAAGAGGGGAAGAAAGAAAAGGGATACATAGGGGAGGCAACCCTTAAATTAGGCCAAGAGTTTTCTTTTTTTCCCTCTGCTGGCCCAGACAATATATACCTAACCTTGGGAGTCATTTGTGACTGCAGTGTCTTTCCCAAGTAATAGATTAGAATTATGTGAGAAAATGAGCCAGATTCTCACAGAGTGTAAATGGTATATGTCAAGATATCACAGCTATGTCTACCTATAACATCAGAGAATCTAACTTAATAATATCAGTGGTGAATTGAACTAAAGGTGAAATTGGGTTGAAGCAGAGAAAGCTCTTATTTTAAATCCAATGGCTTAAACATAAAAGACAATTCATAACTTTCTTGGCCTTTCCTCCAATGACGAGTTTCTGGGATTTGCTGTGAGCACTAGTAGCTTTCTTGTGGGGGCGGGGGTGATTTTTGTTTCTTATTACCATTCTCTTCCTTGCTGATCAAGGTACTTGCTCTATGTAGCCAAATGACCCAGTTAATAGACTAGGTCACGATGTATTCTTTTTGTCATGACCTATGAGAAAGATGTACTTGTATGAACGTTCCCATTTAAACAGTCCATTAAAATACCAAGAACAAAAAAAAACCCTTGTTCAAGGAAGATTTGTTTTGTATAGACCTTCTGGCAGATCATGTTTGATATACTATCATATATAAAAGCAATTATGTATACCCTATTTTTATTTTTTTTATTTAAATGAAAAATAACTTCTTCTGAAACTTACTTGTGGTGCAGTTCTTGAACTCAATGTCATCTATTGCTGCTCCTCCTCCTAGATCTTTGGCACGAATGCCTTCAAATAGGACCTCAAAATTCCTCAATTTCCCCAGGTGTATTTCTGCTTTCTTCCATTCACCAGCATGATTTCTAGACTCACTCCATATTCTTGAAATTCCATTATCAGTCTGAAAATGAAAGGAAATATGTATGCTAAGGTACATATAAAGCACAGATTGCTATATACATCATCTACCACGTGAAAACAAGGAGATTGCACTCAGAGATGTCCCTTGATACTGAACTCTTATATTAAATTTTGTCTGAAATGATTGACACATACTTTGATGGAACAGAGGGGAGGGGGAAATAATAAGATGAAGAGATTATCATACAAATCACATAAGCATCAATAATGGATGGAGTCTTAGTACACAAATTACTATGTATATACAATCAAACTTCAAAGCAGTTTATTTTGTTATCTTTTCCAGTATCTATTATTTCAGGCTTGGAAAAAATCCACAAACCATTGAATCAGTCTGCCTCATTTTTCTGAGAGTACCTATTGAGATAGTTAACTTTGGTTTGTATAGTGCATTTGATTTAAAAAAAAACCACACCAGCATTTGACTTTTTAAAGTATTCAAGTACATCCTTAATATTTAGACATATAATATGAATTATATATGTGGAAGTGGTCCTCACCCCTACCTTGGGCAAATACAAGAGGAGGTTGGATGATCACCTGCCTGGGGTCTTGCGAACCCAGCATTCATTCCTGCCTGTGGCAGGGGGTTGGGCTAGATGATCTGTTACTGACCCTAGCGACTATGAAACTATGATACTATGAATTATGAAGGTATTATTCCTCCATTCTAAATATGGGGGATAGCTCACAAATGAAAAAACTAACACACACAAGGTATACACTGTATTTTTAAATTAAAATATTAATTTAGTAGGTTATCCTTAAAAGTTTGCGACTCAGTCTCAGCCTGAAAACCAAGCAGCCTTACATTATAGTTAGTTGACGAATATAAATAATGAGAGTTTAGGAATATGGGACTGGGAAGGGTCTCCCATTCTGTGCATTCACAGGCTATCATTTATCTAGAGAATCCTAAAACTGGTCCATTCCTATACCTCTTACACACCACAGAAACAAAGACCCTTATTAAAGCAAAATAAAAATCACTCCACAATGTGTCATAAGTAAAAAGCAAGGAGAGACAAGGATGCCCCACCAATGCTGTGAAGAAGTAAAACCTAAAAGTATTAAAAGCAAAGGTAAAAATAAATAGGGAAAG